AACTATTTTGTTTTTGCAAAATAAATTAAACTGAAGAGAAAATGAAAAATTGAATTTATTACATTTTATACTGAATTGGTACAATTAGCAATTTCCTGTCTCATCATGCACAAACAAATTGGGTCCCGTATGAGAGAAACAAACAGATATAAGAAAATGTTGCTCTAATGAATTAAAGAATAATTAGTGAAATCCAAATTAAATGTAAGGAAATTGTTAAGAAATGATGCAGGTACGATAAAGCACTATTTCAGTAATCACAGTTAAGTTCTATTTGTAACACTGTTCAGCTATATTGTGTTATATCAATGTTACATAAAAGCGGTGAAATTTACATACGTAATTCGTGGTAAACTGGTGGGTTTTCATTAAGGTTGTTTGTTTGTTCCATTTTACGCCTTTTTCCAACAGTATTTCAGTCATATAGGCGGGTAGTTTCCTATCCATCGTTCCGTGAGAGTTACACAAGTACTACCTTCCTCCGCGATAAACTACCAAAGCATTTCCCGGGGATCCAACCCACGCCAGAGAGGTAACTGGATTAGAAGTCATCAACTCTAACCCCTCTACCACGGAGGCGTTTTTTATTAAGGTAGTTTGTTTGAAGATCTATTGTTATATGTACAGAACGAGTAAATGTTACCGCTTTTAACTATTAAATTGCATATTCTTAAAACGCAATCACTGTATCATTTATTGAAGATCATTGAACGTCAATGCATATAGATTATTGCGAGCACAATGACATCATTTATATCAATTAATTGTATCATTTATTGCGAGCTTATTCATTTTATCATTTATTGTGAGCATGCGTTCATCCGCTGTTAAAATTACCGCATTGCGTCACGTCATATGCCATTTTCATATTGATGTTTTGTGGAATAATACTGGAATCAAAAGTGTTGAACGACCAAACACATACATACACGAATAAAGTACAAAATACATGGCGGTAATAATTCTCATATATCATTTGGACATTATAATCTTCTGCTCATGATGAAAAAAGAAAGATATCGACACTGACGACATCATTTAATTAATGCTTTCTTTTCATAAATCATTATTATGGGTCTAAATCATATATCATTCTTGTCATTTCAACCGATAACATTTCATTTTTGTATCATAAAAACTGATTTTCGAAGAAAAAGAGCTCAACAGATGAGTTGAGAGTATGTTTTCGGACAAACAAAAGGACTTGACATTTTTCTGATAAAAGGTGGTATGTCGAGTTAAGACGAAGTTCATGAATGTTTTAACTAGGTCTTTCTAACGAATTGCCGATTTTGTAATTAGTGCAACTCCAAAATAAACCACACACAATTACGATGTTTCGCCACATCCATCGCAAAGGCATTTGAACCAATGATTTGATGATGTATATATCATACAATATACATGTACTCATTTTTTTAATTACCTTCCGACAAGTATAATAGTCAAACATGCATTTTAAATTCATAAAACAGCTTACTTTAGATTAATCAGCGGCAAGAGCTACCTCTTTGCTTTTGATTTTTTCCATCACAGGTATATCACATACAGTAAAAACCCTCAATTAAGACCACCATCGGGACTGGACCAAAGTGGTCTTAATTGTGGGGTGGTCTTAATTGTGGATATTCTTATCATTGCTTACACACGATATGATATGGCTATTTTAGTCATTTTGTATGAACAAACAATATGTATCATAACCTGCAAATACAATATAAAAGTATATATTTTATAATGTTACATCTGATGGGAAGAAAACATATTTCTGAAAAAATTTAATATCAAATTTTCTTTGTTCTGATTTCAATAATAATTATTGTATGAGGTACATAATTCACATATCATATCAGACTTTATTTCTTCACAAAACAAATTTGCATAAAGCAACATTAAACCACTATGAAATTAACATTCTCACCTTTTTTTCATTAAATATCCCATAAATAGCAGCTTTTGACACCTTGTGTAATCAAGTGTCATGCCTAAGAGCAATCAAGCAGATAATAACAACATAACAACACATTTAAGATCTAGGAAGGTGTTGATTTTAATATCAGTGGTCTCAATAGTGAGGTCAAATAAAGAACAAAATAAGGAATTGGGACTGAATTTGGTGGTCTTAAATGTGGATCAGTGAGGTGGTCTTAATTCTGGATCATGTAACCATTGACATAAAGAACAGAAAATTCCGTTCTTTTAAAAACTGGTCTTAAAAGCGGGGTGGTCTTAAATCCGAGGTGGTCTTTAGTAGGGATTCTACTGTATATTGTATGTTAAAATTGTATTAAACGTAAATGTATTTACTTATTGTATAGTATATGAAATTGTAATTCAACACTGGTTTATGTGACTGTAATATACGAGTATCTCAAAAAAAAAAAAAAAAAAAAAAAAAAAACGGTTTGGCTGAAATTTAAGGGTTTTAAGATGGTAAAATATTGCATTATATCTGAACCTGATAACATTCATTTAATTAACGGTGAAATTAAACAAGTATTCAAAATTTTAATAAGAACAAAAAGTCAAAACGTTAACATGTGTGTTTTGTTCGATGTAATAAATAAACAAATTTAAATAAATTGATGGGAGTATTGACAGCAAATACATGTTTGTTTATAACTGTATATCTAATTTAAAATACATTCGAAATTAAATCAACTCCTCTGGCAACAGTATTTGGTAAATATTGTTGGTTAATGTTGCGTTATCAAATAAGTGCTAATTTAATTGATATTATTTTGATTGAAGCATAATAACTTTAGTAAATTTAATATTATCGGCATAAAACACAGTCTCAAAACAACCAGGACTGAGAAATGAGTGTGAAGTGTCTTGTTCAAGGATACAACGGCTTTCACCTGACTCCGACGCGTTAACCACTCGGACTGCACCAAGATAGAGAAAAACAGAATCCCTAAAGAAAGCCCAACACTGCAAAATTGAAAAGGTTGCAGGCTCGTTTTAAAAGTCTAAATAGGTTTCGGTGAAAATATAAAATTTCTTTTTTAATTTCTTAAGAAAAGACGTCTAAAGCGAAATAAAATTCACTTCTAAAGTACAACAATAACAGTACATCTTTGGCTACTCAAACATGTTTTCTGATTACAAAAGATAAATAAATGAACGTATTTTCTTTGCAAATTTCTAATTAATCTGTAGTGATATACGAGAAAGGCTTTATTAACGTTTCTAAATCGTTTGGTAATTAATCAGAGTAGTCATGTGACTATAACCACATTCCCATCTTAGGAAAGTACTTGTAATGTTAATTGAAAAAAATGTACTTAGAAGTACAAAACTATTAGTACTTTTCAGAACAAAATAAATTAATTCTTCTTTTGCAAAGATCTAATTTATCCTCTGTGTAATACGAGAAACGCTCTGTTAAGATTTCCGCAATGTTTTGTAATAAATTTCAGAGTTATAAAAAATTAATAAAACATTTGTTCAGATTTAAGATAAAAGCAATCACTACGTATAAGACTATATAGCAAAACTTCATGTATTGTTTTAGAAAAAGATCAATTAGACTTTTAAGATTATGTAGCAAAGCAAAATTATTGGGAAAATGATTTATATGAAAACGGCTTGGCAAAGAATCAGATTATGTATGCAGTTGTTAGATTGAATAGTATTTATCTGCGTGAAGTGGAAACAATCCATTTTGTCTATGTTTAGATTTGATTTATAATTTATGATACTCGTAGATAGAAATTTTAAGTCATGTGACTATAACCGCCAAGCCTAAACAGTTTTGCGGAAATAGTAGTGAATTGTTCATTACATTTCTTAGGATAATACTTGTAATGTTAATTGAAAAATGTAATTTCAAGTACAATGATATTACTACTTTTTATTTATTCAAACTTGTTTTCTGACAACAAAACAAAAAAATTTCAAATTCTACTTTCGTAAAAAGTTCTTAATAATCCTCTGTGAAATACGAGAAACGTTCTTTTAAGGTTTTCGCAATGTTTTTTATTTGAGTTCAGAGGCATGAAAATATTATCAATTCTAATTTGCTTTGAATAAAAAATATAAAAAATATTTTTTTTTTTTGCAAATATATTATTACGGAGATATGGCTATGGAATATTGTAGTAGACGATATTGATATATGATATTTTCTTTTTCTTCTGACTGTCTGCCATTTACTGTAAAATGAGATTTCATTTGTTATTAACGTTTATCCGAGATATGGATAGAGGATATTCATTTTTTTCTTCTAAAAAATATTTAAGATTTATTTTCTTTGAATGGTATATAAATTAATATTTATACATGTTTTCTGTATTCTTTTTTTTCTTCTGATTGTCTTCCATTTATTTACTGTAAAATGTGATTCCATTTGTGATATTTCATATAATAGATAGAGAATATTAAATTTGATCTATAAATTCAAGATTTATTTTCATCGAGTGATGATAATCGAGTAATATTTCACGAGTGGCATTTTGTTAATTAAAAGAAGAATATGACCTTTTTTAAATACATTTTTATCTTTTTCTTTTGACAGTATAATTTGAAAGACTTCTCTTTAAATGTTTTGTATTGGCTGAATTAAGCAGATGATAATCTTGCAAGACACTACTGAATATACAGAAAATGTGCTTCACTGAAGTGAAAAAATCTATTTTTTACATTGAAAATTTGGAAAATATGGAATACGCCTTTTAAATCATCAATATTTCATTTTTCATTTATTATTATATAATACATTTTGTATACTTCATTTTAAAACATTTATTTCAGCCCGAATTTGCTGAAAGCTTGAGGCTAAAAATCATCTCTCGATCTAACTCGTCCTGGTGCCATATAAAAATGTTGGTCGTGACTACAAAAGTGGTCGATTCCCTGACACCTTGATTGAAAGGCAGACAACTTAACAACAATACCGTCGCTTCCTCGTTACTTCTAATAACAATGACCGCCAGTAAGTTTGCGTCATTTTTATAAAACCTAACAATTCATTGTTAACAATTCAATTCAATTTCAATTCAAAACTTTATTGTCAGAGTCACAGTTTACAATATGCAAAAACATGTGAACATATACAATCATTAAGTTAGCAGCAGTAGTACACGTAACAAAAATATAATCTTGTCAAAAACATTTTACAAAACTAATGCTCTAAGTATGGAGGGGAAGTGATTGGACTACATTTTTTTACTATTTAAAATATAAAGCAAATTAACAGGTTGTAACAGGTACAATAATACGAACAGCAGAGAAAGAAACAAGATTAATACGGATTTCTTAAGCTGACACATATAATGAATATTAGTTTATGCTTGTTTATATATGTAAAAAACAAAACAAAAACAAACAAAAAAAAAACAATAAAGAACGAGGGCACAATTTAAAAGATTTATAAGATGCGCTTATGACTACACGCCCTATAGTAAAATAATCAGTAGACTGACGTAATTTTACCTGGCAGATCTATAATTAGACTGGTGTAGACCAGTCATCCAGGTGTGACGCATTTCTTAACTCTATATTTGATTTGACATTGCTATACTCATGTGGAGACATTGTAATCTAACGGGACTTGCAGTCGAGCAGCACTTTTAAAACGTGCAAGACAGGCGAACCTGAAACACGACGAAAGGTAACCTACTTTATTATAAGATGTAAACATAAATATTTTTATTTGGATAGTAACCTAGTTTCATATTGTGTAAACACGAATTTAAACATTTTACAATGTGCGGTTACACCCGTATATTTAAAGATTGAAATTTTTTAGCTAAACTTTTTCATGATATGCTGAATAAAATAACATAAATTATATAGACGTGTTAAATCGTTACATGTCATTAACTCTTTATATTTCAGTATATTAGGGTGATGGAATAGATGACGTGGGATGTACTTATGTCTATCCTCATTGAAATATGGACATTTTAAAAGGTAGTGCAGTTCATCACCAATTTCCTGGAGCGAACACAGATGGCAAATGCGCTGCTCGTGGACAACATAAGACTGTCTCCAGCGTCCTACCTCTACTGGAAGCCTATGGTTCCCTGTTCTGAAGAGGAAGAGGCTAGTCCTTAAAGTACACGGTAATGACAACAAGTAATTTTCTATATTTAGATTATCTTTAAATAAGTAATACCCCAAACCTTTAGATGAGTTTCTTAAAGAAGCTGACCATTGTTGGAAGAATTGGTCTATTAAAGTGCGCTTAATTATTTGACCTACATCGTTTTTAGTTATTGTTGACTGATTTAACCAATAAAAGGAGTGTCCAGTACTATCTAAGATATTCTTTATATAATTTGACCATTTAGAAAAACGAGATGACTGTACAATGTTTTGATAACATATATAAACCAATTTAGAGTGCTTTGATGTTATAATTCTATTCCAGAATGTGACCATTCTTGATTTGACAGTAACCTCTATTGGATACCTCCCAAATTCAATAAGTTCCTGATTATATTTAATTACATTCAATCTGGAAACAGTCAATGTATAAGAATCTACTACACAAACGTTTCTATCTCCAACTTTTCGAGGGGTTAAACCCCTCTTTTTCAAAGAGTTTCTGTTATTTTTATAATTCGTACTTGTCTTTATAACAATAAACAGAAACCCCTTGAAAAAGAGGGGTTTAACCCCCTTGAAACGTTGGAGATAGAACAGTTTGTGAAGTAGATAATTATATATTTAATTAGAATGTTTCAAACGTAAACAATTAAAACAATTGGATATAATATATCCTTAGTAATCTTAAATGTTAAACGCTTGTATATAACCAATATTCATGCGTTTTATATCTGTTTCATATCAACATTTCCCAGGTCAAATGCGAAGCTACGTACATGTAAAACAAACGAAATAACGATAAAACGATTGAATTGATTGTATGTATATATTTGAATAGGAAATGTTTGTAATGAGAAAATTGATTACATTAAACGTACGGGAATATTTCATGATGGTTGAATTGACACAGTAGTAAATCAGCTATTTGCTCAAATGATATTTTAATTTGTGATATAAATCAAAGACTATACTTAGGAATATCACGTGACGCTATTTTAACTTCTCTACAATATACATCCATAAACAATAGCAACAAGATGAAGTAAATGCATTTCACAAATATGGTTCAATTAAGTCTAAAGTTCTTGACAACGTTGTGGAAAACATTATTCTGATTGTCAAGTTGCTTTAAGTACAAAACATATTCTCTAATAGTCTCTTATCTAAATGTTCTCGTAATCCAATTATGGAATTCATCGTTAAAAGGTTTCCTCTATTTATCTGAAATAATGACGGTGACAAAATCTGGTAAATAAAAATTCGTTACACTATTTGATCAATACAGCGTAGAAAATTGTTTTGTTCTTATTCTTAATTGCTTTTATCTTCATTTGAACTTGTCAATGTAATATAGATACTGTTACAGGACTATGTTAAATGTATGGTTAAAACAGAACATAAAATTAAATTAACCTTTGATAGTATGCATTTCACATATTTCATATATGTTATGTCACATCTAACAATCCCTATATTTCTTTTAAAATGCAATTATTTCAACATATAAAATGTGCTTTAAAACTAGAGATAACGAAATCAGTTATCGATAACTATGCTTAAGTTTGATATTTGCAAAATACTGAAAAGTGAAATTACACAGTCTCTTTATTAAAAAAACATAATTTGCACAGGAATGATATATTACGAACTAAACACACAACGAATAAACAAAACATAAATGCTTCACCAATTATAGCGAATCCAGGTTCTCAAATATACTCTTATGTATTATTTTATTAAATAAAAATAGTTGGTAAGAATCTTCTAGATTTCAACGAAAGTAATTTACACAAATATGATAAAGGTATATTTATAAACAATTACTCGAGACCTTAATACGTATCTCCAAATATAAAGACAAACGTTTCAGACACATAAACAAACCCACCTATATGACAGTATGATATTGATATTTCGGAAAAACCAAATGGACGTAAGGTTACATTGCAAGTTACATAGTATATTAAATGCAATATTAATTAATAAAATTCTTATTGGTATCTCTGTGAAATGGTATCACTGTTAATTCTAAGTGATATTTCTGTATAATTGGTAATATTGTTTATCATGTACAGAATTTACTACAACATCTTAAAAGTACATTTAACTAAAGCATAGCTTCATTCTGATCGTAAAAACCTTTTTCGAACATTTTTTGTTTTAAATAATTATTACACATTTAAAATATTGCCTTACTTTAAAGTCAGAAATAAAAATGGATAACCCTTTTCTTTACGATAAATCATTCCATTCTATTCTTTCAATTTCATTTCTATTCAAAACATAAGTAATTGATACTTTCTAGTAAGGCAATGTCGAAATGTCCACTTATGTTTAAGTGATGGTATATCACTTTCCTTATTTCTGCAAATTATCCTAATTATTTATTTCAGTGTACCCAGAGAATAATTAGATAATTGTTTTTTATTTCTGAGTTTTTTCCCCATTTTATATGAGCATGTGAATGGAGTTTTCGTCATACACTCTGTAACCTACAAATGACATATTTTATATTTCTATAGCTTCTATTATTCTAAAACATAACAATCTCCAAAGAACATATTATAATTACAAAAATTACAAACTTGATCACTCGGACATTTCTCAATTAAGAACATTTGGTATTTCTATTGATGATTAAAAATAATTCCTGTAGTTGACAGAGCAAATCTTTAACACATGTGCCTTATTTTGGTTACTATTCGAGATAAGTATTTTTTTTTTGCCAATTAACATTCGTAAATAATGATTATTTTGCAGTTGTATCAATATTTGCACTTCCCATACAAAATTTTATTTATGCTTGAAAATGATGTCAATCATTTCTATCACAGATTACATAGGCTTACAATAACAGTAATGTTTGGTGTTTAATTTATGCAAATATAAATGATATTGACTTTATACATCGTCAGAACCAGACCAACAAAGTCCTTCTGTTTGATTTCTTTGACAGCATGAGATATGCTACTTGGACATGTTGGATATCATAAATATTCAAAAACGACTAGACGATCTCCAATTTGATTTAAAACTTAATTCATTCCATCGTATAAATTGCTTTATAAGACAGACGCAAAGACAATTACATTGCGATGAAATATACAATAATTGAATGTATCTTGTATCAGTGCATTAAAAAAATCCAACAAATATTGTTATTGTGATGTTCTTAACGCATCCTCATAATAAATAATTAGACAGTTTACTGTCGTTTTTTATAATAAAAGCAAAACATGAGAATGAAGATCTTCCAGGCAAAAGCAACGCTAACAAAACTCAGCCGCCGACACCCAGCCACAACCAGGGTACACAGAAGGCACCGAACCAGAAATGGAAGAGGACACAAGGGCGACTAAAGGAGGGGAGGGAAACGCAATAAGTGACACAATTAGACCTAAAAGATGCCTATAAGAGAATTAAAGAGTCAAGGGGTACATCGGGAAAGACAGAGGGGGGGGGGGGGTAGGGAATGTTAATCTTATCTGGGTGAAAGTGGGGGAGAGTCAAAATAAAATACTTACTGTTTACGACAATTTAACAAGGTATACACCACAAAACATGCAAACATATTAGAATACGCACAAGTGTAACACGTGAAGGAACCAAGAGGGGTGCCACTTTGGACAGGTCAGTTGCAATTACAATGATGGGGGAGTTTCAGCGCCAAACCTCACTCTAAGCCCAAATATGTTCCTAAATGACGAGAAAATGTAAATGAAATTAATTCCTGCTAAGTGAAATTCTTACAATTGTGTTAGTTTTTTTTTTTTTTTTTTTTTTTATATTTTTTTTCTCAGTGATCATACAATAATACAGTGTACATAACATATAATAAACTTCTGTCCAGATAATACAAAAGCATGGCCACAAAGAGTTGTTTTTTTTCACACCCAAACACACGCCCGCACTCACATCCGCACCCATACACCCACATTTCCAATTCATAGATACCAACAGGTTTTATAACTATACATATTTCGAACATAACGCACACACAAAACAGCACACATAAATTTCGGGTACCATCGGCAATACGATACTCGTATTAGTGTAACCTAATATTTAAACAAAAAGAAAAAGGGAAAGTAAAGGGAGTGAAAAATTAAATACAAAAGAACAAGAAAAAAAAACAACAGAAGATACATCTACAGTTTTTGACTGCTTTTAAACATAATTGTTTTTTATTTTATGTAAGTAAAGTATTTTCATATGTTATTATATTTGTATCTGGGAAAATTCTATTCCATTTTTGAAAATGAGTTTCCAGTTTATCTCGATTAAATGCAATACATTTTTCAATACATAGTCTGCTCCGAAAATAATGTAAAAATAAGTTAAATTGTGGTGTGCGTTTTCCAATTTTGCAACTATATATGTAATATTTTGCCACCAAAAGAATAAAGTTTTTTGCATCTTTTTGTGTATCTATGCTTGTAATTAAGTGAGATATTGTTTTCAAATTAATTTCTATAATTATAATATTCCGTTTTTTGAAATATTCTATTAAATCTCTCCAAAAAAGTTGCGTGTAAGAACATTGCCAAAAGAGGTGTTCAATAGATTCAATATCCATTGCACAAAAATCACAAAGACTCGAGGAAGAAATGTTTTGTTGTAGAAGACTTTTGTTTGTAGCAATTATTCTGTGAAGATATTTATATTGAACATTTCTGAACTTAGTGTCAATCGTTGTTGATAGAATGTTTTTGTATGTTTTTTCCCAACATATATTTTCGTTTTCAAATATATTTTCCCACTTATTTTCTGCAGTATTTTTGATAATGTTATCTCGTTTTAACTGATGTTCATATAGAAATTTATTGGTTTCATTTGTTTTAATAAATGACGCTATAATATATCTGTTTGGGGTATTGATATTGACGTTGTCTAGATTGATACCTGTAATGACGTCAGGATGTATACTTCTTATTAAAGTCAGATATTTGAGGTAATCTGCATCATGGATTTGATAAATTGTTTTAAAATTTTAAAAAGTGTAAAATTGATCAATTCTAAAGTCAAACAGATGTTCCAAATACACAATACCCTTTTCATACCAAGACTTATAGAAGAATGATTTTTCATTTGATGTTATTTTCATATTATTCCAAATTATTTGTTTATTTGGGTTATTACATTTTGGTATGACTTTTATTTGGTTCCAGGATGAAATTATATCTCTTAAAAATGGATAACTTTTAAATTTGCTTTGTATAAATTTGTCATTTATTTCACATTCAAAAAGTAACTTGCCTCCGTATCTGTCTAATTGAGATAAGTATATAGATTTTATTAAAGATGTCGAGTCATCATTTATAATTTTTTTCACCCAGGTCGCTTTTATTGATAATATATATTTTCTCAAATCAAT